CTCCTTTGGCTTTATTTATATGGGTACTAACGCTATTTATACAATAAAGCTTTGCTCTCAATCCTATAAACTTAGTAATGATGTCACCACCGAGTTCATCTTTAAATAGTCCAGGAATTCTTGAATTCACTTGTGGTAATTTGTACGGGTTATCTTTTTTGAAATTGCTGGTATCATATGTTGTGGTAATATCATTTTTCATGTCCTCATAATAATCGTTAGTTTCTATAAGATAAAGTAAGCTATCAGTATCCGTATAACATAATTTTACTTTATTCTGATATTTCTTTTTCATAAAGTTGTAATGAAAAGAATATAAATGTTGTTTCGCGTATTCTAAAACAGTGAACCCAATGTTTATGGGGCGATCTAAGACTAGTTTTTCAGGACTTAGCTGAATAGCTGCAAAATTTTCTGAAAATATAGATACACTACGTAAATTTGGTTTAGCTATTAACTTTTGTGTCTCCATGTGTTTGTTCGTTTTATTATTTTGATCGCACCAGGCTGTCACTAATTTTACACTCACTTGTTTTCGATGGTTTTCTATAGTTTTTCCAAAAACAGAGTTGTTTAAGAGTTTGAAAAAATCTTTTTCGAATGCCGATTTTGAATTTTGCCGTAATTTAGTGTTAAGATCAATATAATCAGACATAAAAGTTTCTTGCCTAAACATAAGCACACGATGATTTTTTTTTAATACTAAAACATTTTTTAAACATTCATTTAAATAAACGTAATGTATAACGTACTTATATTTATGATATAAATTAGCTATTAATATTTTTGTTTTGCCCCCTGGTGGAATGAATTTCTCGGGTGCAAAGGGTAAGTCACTATGATTATCATGTATGCTATCAGGATATTCTAAATCAACTTCCAAAATATAACCATACATAGAGTCGGGAGATACGTCGAAAATATTTAACTTATCTATTTCATTAACAGTGAGAAGTCTGAAATCGGAAATCGGCAACTTTTTTGTCATTGCAAATCCATATAAATTGTTACAATCCAGATATATTAAATAAGAAGATGGTTTGAAAACATCAGATTGTGGTGTATATTTATTATTCGCTACCGCATGTCGAAGGGAACACTGTGATAATCCACCGCGAATACCTCTTTCCAACATTTCGTATATCTCCAAATCGGAAATTAATTCAAGTTGTACTAGATAGATAGATAGATAGATAAATTCTTTATTGAACCACTACTATCACTACATTATAAGTTGTTATAAAATACTTTGTTGGTGTATAGAAACATTAAAATTACAAAAGACAACGATTTATATCACCGAACTAGAGTGTGAAGCAGTAGCTCAAGAGGTATACAGCTCAGTGTTGGATGTTCCATATATGAAACAGACACTGATTTTCAGCTGTACCCTAGTCGCCGTTTGGTCGCTAGCGAAAAATCAAAGTGAATGTGGAGTGAGAGTACAGTGTAATTCCAAAGTATTATATAAATAATTTAATGTAATCAATATAAACAATAATAGATAAATATTATTACACTCAATACTAAATAGAAATTCTCAATAAACATTTACTAGGCCTAATTTTTGCTTCTGTAGATACTCTTCCTTCAGTTTCTTCATGAAAGATCCCTTACACAAAAGTCTAAGTGGGGGTGGGATGTTGTTCCAACATTTGGTGGCTTGGTGTCGGAAACTACCAGTAAATGCTACGGTTTTGTGTTGCTGTGTAGATAACAGGAATCGCCTCGACCTCATATTACAACCGTCACGTGGCTGCATATACTTGAGCTTCGTAAATAGGTATTCAGGCTCCTTATACTTAATTAGGTCAAATAACAAACTAGCGAGATGCAAATGCCTACGAAAGGACATTTTCAAGATAGAATGTTTATTGAGGTACGGCGTAACGTGACTACGCGGAGGCACATCAAAACAGAAACGGCAGCAAGCATTTTGGACGCGTTGCAATTGTTTTTGAGTTCTAGATAACAATCGCGGTCCGTACACGAGGTCACCATAGTTTAGTCTCGATAACACCAGTGATTCACATAGAGTGATACGAACTTGTACAGTTAATAAATGACGAATTCTGTACAACAATTTTAGACGATAAAAGCATGATCTTACTAAGTTCGATACATGAGTTTCAAAACGTAAATTCTCATCCAAAACGATACCCAGGTCCCTAGCTTCATTAACACGTTCTATATGTTGATCACGTATATATATCTTATAACATCGGCGATTGACTTTCGAAAGTTGATTTTTAGAACCGAGTATTAAATATTTGGATTTTGATGGATTGAGTGATAGAGAATTCCTGTCAGCCCACTCTGCTATTCTACTTAAGTCAGCGTTCAGTTTCTCAACTGCCTCATTAAAGTTTATGGGATTCGATGATATGTACAACTGTACATCATCAGCGTATAAATGATAACGACAATTCATCACCACTTCAGTAATATCCGCGGTATAAAGTACAAATAATAAAGGTCCCAAAATGGAACCTTGTGGGACCCCTTTAATTACACCTCGAAAATCAGAGATACTACAATTCCCATCTGATTTCATTAGTTTCACAGCTTGCGAGCGGCAGTTAAGGTAACTATTAAACCAAAGAAGCGAAATATGGTCTACGCCATAGTAAGCAAGTTTAGCTAAAAGTAGTTGCACACTAATACTTTCAAAGGCACGAGAAAAGTCCAACAATGCTAAGCATGTACTATTTCCAGTGTCCTGCTCTACGAGAATGTTGTCTACCACATCCAAAAGTGCTGATTCTGTACCCATTCCCTTCCTGAAACCGGATTGATATGTCGGCAGCAATTTATTATTTTCGACAAACTCGCTCAACTGATAATGAACGGCCTTCTCTAACACCTTCGACAGGAAAGGCAAAATACTGATTGGCCTTAAGTCTTTTAGATCAGTGGGGGTTTCATTTTTTGGCAAAGGTGTAACAAGAGCAGTACACCACACACGAGGAACAATACCACTAAGGATTGATCTGTTAATTAAACCTGTAATAATAGACAAAGTCCGAGGAAGCGTGAGAATGATCATGTCCCTATTTATACCGTCAACTCCGGTTGAATTACTTTTGATGGTTAATATATACTTAGCAATATCATTCTCACTAACCGGTCTTAGAGACAGCGACTCATCACTGTGTCTATGCTGTTCAAAATAAGCTATTTCAGATAAAGATACACTTTCAGATCCAGAAACACACAAAAAATGTTCATTTATTTCGTTAACATTATCAAATAGTTCACAAATAGGAATGTGGTTGCTTTGGTTAATCAAAATTTTATCTTTTATATTCTTCCAAAATTTTTTAGGGTTATGTTGTGAATTATTTATATGATAATTATAATATGCACGCTTTTCATTAAATATACTTGTTTCTACAGCTTTTTTTAATTGTTTATAATACTTTTTTTTACTTTCCTTTCTGACTAAATCACTTTCTTTACGATATGCTTCATATGACTTATTGCGAAGGTTCATTAAAATTTTTATGGTGTCAGTTAGCCACGGAAGTGACCTTTTCGATATTGTATAGGTTATTACAGGTGCATGTTTGTCAAAAAGCGACAAAATTAGTATGTTAAAAGTCTGAACCATGAGATCCATCGTAGGCTGCTGAAAAATAGACTCCCAATCAACATTATGCAGATCGCTGTCAAATGTGCTTAAATTTATTCTATTTAAACGTCTGTGAGTAAATTTCTTAGGAGGAGGTTTTTGATATCTTAAATTTAAACTCACATTTATCATACAATGACCCAGCGAAGCAGTAATATTAGTCACTGAAATGGAGTTTATCGGGCAATTCGTACAAACTAAGTCTATAAGCGTTTCTGTATCGGGGGAGTAATGAGTTGGTTGTGATACTTTCTGCTCTAGACCCATGTAATGTAAAAAATGTTTTATCTTTTTGACATTACAAGTGTCCTCAAGGAAGTTAATATTAAAATCGCCCAACAAAACTAAATAGTCACAGCTTGCAAAACTGCTAATCGATGCAGTTAATGCGTCAATAAATAAATCTACATTTACCCAATTTGGTCTATATGCTGTTCCGATAAATACATTATAACCGTTGATGTTAAGAGACAGCCACATTTGTTCAATTGGTGCGCATGGAAACTTAGCCAGACGTATACGTATACCGCGCTTCACATAGAAAGCAACCCCTCCCCCTCTGCCCCTGCGCATTGAGAGCGGACGCGGCATATTGCGTAAATAATAACCAGGTACTAAGGGTGCGCGCGCCTCCTCGCCCTGTCGTATCCACGATTCGTTAATTGCAATAATATCTGCATTAAATTTAGACATAGCCATAATGAAGTCATCGTGCTTAGTAGCCAATGAACCAGCATTGTAAAGACCCAATTTAAAAATTTGTCTTTTAGGGCCCATAACAACTATATAGAAAATTAACTGTATAACCACATTGATATATGACAATTATTGAAACGAGTAAAGTGAGTGTATTTGTTTTATCAGCATAAGATATTCTCGTGGATGCTACCTTCATTACAAAAACGAAAAGAAAAGTCATTAGGGAGGGTATAAATATAATAAAACTGTATAATTTCTGTATGTGTAAGAAACAAATATATGATCTGATTACAAATGGAATGACAAATTTAGAAAATACTATTATGCATGTATTATAAAAAAAAAATATATATATATATATAGATAGTGCCTATTAAATTTGTGTTTGTGTTGTAGACATATAATTGAGATGAATACTGCGTCACACTCCGGTAGGGAAAAAGTAATCATACACATAAAACAGTACGCTTTGATTTTGTACACAGCAAACAATATTCGTTCATATTTTAACTTAGACATATGTATAATAATTATTATCAAAATAACCATGTTAACGGATACATGAAAAGTAGGTAATAAACTAATACCAACTATGAGATTACATTTCAGACAGTTTAAAATATAATATAAGTAAACAAGAGTGTATAGAAATATATGTATCATATTATAATCAAACAGAAGATACTCCAAAAACTCGAATTAAATCATTTTCCGTTCTGATACGACACGGAAGAGAGTCCAGTCCAGCGTTTTCTCGTACATAAATTCTACCTTGCTTGGTCCATACAAACCTCCAGTTGAATCGTGATTTCAGTTCACGTGCTTTGAAAAATAGGTAACGATTTTGACGGGTAAGTCTCTCATTAACAAAAAAACGAGTAGGTGGCCCAGCCATACCCGTTCCCTCTGTTGTAGCAGCACGTCGCACGCGGGCAGCTTGGAGAAGCTGGTCACGCACGGCACGGCGAGTCAAGGTCAGCACCAGCGGACGAGGACGTACTGAGTGTTCAGTTTCTGTTGCCACTATAACACGACCCACTCGTAAGGCGCTCACCACATCACACTCCGCCAATGAAACACCTATCTTCTTTGCCAGAACCATTGTTGTGGATACAGGGTTTTCACCTTTCTGTTCTGGAACGCCTGTAAACTCAATTTGATTAAGAAGCATCTCTTGATCACGGTCATTGAGTTCAGCTTTTAGCTGAGCCACGGTATCTGCGAGGGCACCATCACAAGGGGTCCCGATACGAGACTCCAGGTCCTCAACACGTGCACATACGTTATCAATGCGCTTATCGCACTCACACAATTTTGAACTGAGATCGCTCACAACCGTTTTGAGATCCCGTATATTATTATTCATGGATAGTATTTCCTGTCTAAGTAACCGTATCTCAGTCACTAATACACGAAAATCAGATGGTGATTCCAAACTTTGTTCCTGAGACACTACGGCGAATCCATCGCTGGATGAAAAGGACACGTCCATTTCTATAGTCTCCGTAGGGCGGCTAGAGGTTCCTGACAGATTACTTGGCATTGCGCGGCGCAAGGTTACGTTGTGATTGTCAGTGCGTACCGGCGTGTTCTCATTCTGTTGTTTCGGCTGCTGACACAGACATAAAGCGCACTTCCACTTGCTTTTGTGATCGCTTGTCATTGTATTGCGAAATCTAGCTTCAGACACATTAGCACAAATTAAATCGTATTTTTTGTTGCACAAACTGCAACACAGGTAGTGTCTGTCCTTTATAATAGTTTGGCAACCATCGCATTTAATTGTCTTGACGTTAGACATTTCTTGTTTTTATTTAATTTTATGAAGCTGCACAGATTATACTTCCACAGATTTTAGTAAGACTAATTAATAAAAGTTGTACTTAGGTGGATATAGAAAGGAAATATGAAATATTAATCGCAATCTAACAAATAGGTTATTATATCGCTTCGATAACAAAAACGTGTTCACTCGCGAACGACCGAACGACGAAAAAAAGTTACATAGCATCCCAACTAAGACTAGGTGCTGATACATAATATGCAGGGTCAAGCATATAATGCGTTAAACATGTATTTCTAAATTTTTCAAATATATCAGTGAGTAATAAAACGTCAGTTTTTAAATACAAATCTGTATAATCGCCTAAAGTTTTTAAGCCGAATGTAATCCATACATTTTGTACATGAGTATATTCCAATTGACTTATATGTTCACATTTTAAACTATTATAAAAGCATTCTTTTGACGGGAGGTTAGTTTCCTCATATTTTGACCAACAGTCTACATAGTCATAAGGATATACACCTTTTTGTTGCAAATCCTTTATTTTATAGCTATCTTTAAATTCTCTCGTTAAGTTTACGAAGTCATTATCAGATAAGTTTTTGCAAGAATTTCAATACTAGAGCTCAGAAATTGATAAGAGTCAGTGATCTTTATTTGAACTGAACGTAAAGCTGATTTATACTTTATAAATTTTGTTATCGTCATATATTTTTCCTTTGATTTTGGGATTATACTGATATTTCCCTCATATTTCGCTAGTTCTTTAGTAAATAAGTGGCTATCATAGCCGCTAAGATTGTGAAATATTACAGGCACAAATGGACATACTCTGTACATGAGATTGCAATGCGAGTGCGCTGCGCCTCTGTATTGTGAGGTAATATGATCATGGTCTTGCACTTTATCATCAAAAAGTAATTGATTACAGATATGACATGTAGTTGCTTTTTGAAACTGTATTTTCTCAGCTTTAGTTAAAGGCTTCATTGGTGAAGTATATGAAAAAAATAGTATTAATATTTTCAATATCTTTTATTAAATACTCTATAAATTTCTCTACACAGTTTCTTCCTCTGTATGTCACATATTTATTCAGTGATGTGTCAAAGCTACAGCAAATGTAATACCCGAAACAAGAAGCTTCATGTAATTTATATATCTGCGTGCTTTCTGTGTTTCTTTCATGATAATTCAATAAAATACTTTCAAAATCAGCATAAATTACAAAGTTAATTTTTTGCTTTCTTTCATAATGTTTAAACTGTAAAATACTCTTTTTGGGTGGTAATAGCGTTAATATTTTAGAACATGCGTGGGTATTAAATTTTAATTTACTTTTAAAAAATTGTAAGCATTCTTCACAAATATACATTTCACCGTTATGAGATGTAAATTGTCGTTTAACAAGTCTTAACAAATCTTTTATCAAACAATAATGACCTACATTATTCCTTTCAAAATATAGTAAATTAAAATGATTTAATTTTTAATTTTTTGTTTTATATAGAGGACCGGTAACATTATTCTTATATATTTATACTTATGTTAGAATTATTTTTTTCAAACTCCTTTATATCACGAAATGATGGAGGAAAGATCATGTTGTACGTATTCAAAACAGTTGAATAATGAGGATAAGATTTTGTTCTACAAACGTTACTTTTCGCAGGAAACATTGCTGCTACTATACTCCATAGGAAACAATGATTATCTGTATTTTTAATATTCAAGCAACTTTTCGTACTTAGAATGACTTTTGTAATGTAATGGTAAATAAGAGCCACCTCTCAGTGGACTATACTTGTTGATATTTATTTCTAAATGAATCATACTGTAACAAGACCAGCCAGATTCACGGTGCTCGAATTCTGTTAGTTTGTTCTGCAATCTTTTTAATGTATTTATGAAAACTTGATCTAAATCCGAATTCAAATATATAGATTCATATTTGGTATTAAATGACTTTAATTCTTGTACGCCACACGTAGGCATAAAGAAGTGAGCGAATAATTCAAAATTTAATTTTATACAGTTATACTTTGATAGTGACATATAAATTATCTTCAATAAATCATTCTTGTAATTCAATAAAAAATGTTCTGGAGTCAAATATTGATCAGTAGGATTCAATCGATACGTTATAATTCTTTGTTTGAAAGCTGATGCTATAATATCAATGTTTTCAAATTCGGTTTTTATCAATGAATTAGATTTATGTAAAGGACAATGGGCGTTCTGTCCCATTAGCAGCCAGTAATGAAAGTGGTATCAATCGAAAGGGGGGCTAATAAAGAACAATTTTGGTTAAGAAAGTACACCTTTATTCCATTTGAGAAAAAAGGTACTTACATCCTAGTGCTTATATATTCATATTTTGTATATATCCTTACATATATATCCTAAAATAATAATTACCTTAATTACTAAACATTGTTACTTAGAACTTGTTTCTACCTGTTTAGAAAATCATGCGCACGCCGCTTGCATGTGGGGTTTAAACAGGTAGAAACCAGGGGTCGGAAACCGGTATATTTTTCGAAACGTTTTCATCTTAAATACCTAAAAAATACTTTGTTTCGGTTTCGTTCGAACAGAACGATATAAAAAACGATTTTGGAAAAAAACAGAATTATATTGTTTTCGGTTAATAAACCGTTTTTAACCATTTATTTTGCGTTTTTTTGCATCGCATACTGTAAATAACGTAATAAAATAAATGTACGCCGCCCTTACAGCCCGCGCGGCACCGTCTTGCGGATTAAACCGGTTTTTTAAAGCGTTCTCATTTCGTTTTCGTTTCGAACGCAAACTTGCCCAAAGAACCATAAGAAACGTTTTAAAAACGTTATTTTGAATAACGTTTCCGAGCCCTGGTAGAAACAACTAACCAATCAGCGACGAGCGCACTTAACGCCGGCGGCCCTGACCAATCAGCGACGAGCTCATGATATGATGTGGTCAGGTGATGAAAGCCTGCGACCGTTGCAGTCCTACGTTTAAGCTTGTTTCGTTGTGTACTGTGCGATTTACGTACCCAGTTTTCAAATCTAATTCGACTCTAGCTTGCCTACCGGACTTGTTTCATCTCACTTTGTTGACCTGTGCTTGTTTCTGGATTTTGTAAGCTTTGTGGATTGAATTTTGTGAACCATGGCAGATTATCATCGTCTATGTGTTTTGTGCAATCGCTCTGTTATAAACAGAAGAAGATTTGAAATAACACATGCTCTGTTTGAAGCGAACCCTTCGATAGCCCAATATATTATTGAGGCTATGGCTCCTGAACACCAGGTTAGTATTACAAAATGAATAAACACATGTGTTTGTCCTGGGTGGGAACCGAACCTGCGACCCCTGGCGCAAATAATAATAATAATATCGAACCCGGGACCTCTGAGAAAGCGTCACCTTGAAAACCGATATGTACGCCTCTCGGCTACGGAGGTCGGCAAAGGACAGAGTCACTACCAAATGCGTCATCGAACCGGTCATATTGTTTTTTACGAGTCGCCATATCGAAGCTTGTGCCTATGGCAATGCTCTAAAAGTGGATTTTTTTCCAGCTGCAGTTCAACGAGCAAGAATTCATCTGTCGGCCATGCTGGCATCGAGCAGAAAGGGCTACTCAGCATCATCAACGGCCGCACGAATGTGCATTACAAATAGAAGAATATTCGAGGGTCCCAAATACGTTGTTGTTGTTTGTTTGAGAACTGCCGCAGATCAACACTGATTTGAATCCCGGATAATGTCAAAATAACCTTTTTGATACATTTTAATTTCTACATACCCGATAGCGCAAGGGTATGCGCTCATCATATAGAGTCCAATGACTGGGACCAAGTAATTGACAGTCCGAACTTGCTCCACGATTTTAATGCTACCCATTTTGTGCACATGATGAACTTGATGAAGTCTGCAGCGCTTCGAGGATCAATAATAGACTTTGATCGGATAGAAGAAATGCACGACAATGAAGTATGTATTAGAACTGGTATTAGTCGTGAACAATTTATGAAGATACTACAACTAACGCCTTCATTGTCAAATGAATCAACTCGTCCAAAGTTAGCGTTGGCTGGTTTTCTAATGAAGCTACGAAGCGGTGAAACAAAAGAACGACTAGCGGCTCTTTTTAATGCGAGTCGACGAACCTTTGAAAGGCACCTCAATGCAGCTCAGTGCCTGTACTCAGAATTTGTACCCCGACATTTGGGCTACAATCACATAAGTAGGAGAGAGGTAGCTCAAAGGAACCTCTTAGTTCCTAACAGTATCTTCGGCAGCCCTGGATCAGAAGAAAGAAAACCAGTGGTGATATGTGACGCTACGTATATTTATATTCAAAAATCTTCTAATTATTTATTCCAAAGACAATCATACAGTCTACATAAATTCACCAACTTGTTGAAGCCATTTATTATGGTTTGCTGCGATGGACATATCATAGATGTATTTGGACCCTATGCAGCCACCGAGTCGGATGCAACCATCATGAAAAATATGATAGAAAAAGTAGACGATGGTTTCCACTGGTTCTTCGAACAGGGAGATGTATTCGTCTTAGATCGAGGATTCCGTGATGTCATAGACGATCTCGAAGCTTACGGCTATGAGGCTCATATGCCAAAAACAAAAAACAGAAATGAGGACCAATTAACAACCGAACAAGCTAATAAAACTAGGTTGGTTACTATATGTCGGTGGGTCGTGGAAGTTATTAACGGTTAGTTCAAACGTGATTTCAAACTGTTCAGACAAGATTTTTTTAACAGAGCACTACTGCATATGATGAAAGATTTTAAAATAGCAGCTGCGCTACTCAATGCATACCGGGTACCACTAGAAGATAGTGTACACGCCGAGACATTTGTTAATATAATTAATGAGCGTTTAAACCAACCAAACATCCTTTCGGAATATGCCGTGACAAATAATTTAAATCGCCGACGAGCTACCTTTGACAGCATCACAGGAAATCATCCGAATTTAAGTGACTTCCCGACGTTGATCGAAGAAGATCTAGTGATATTCGCGCTCGGCACATACCAAGTCAAACTGGCACGCAGTTATTACGCAGAGCATATTCGACAAGGCTTGTTTAACATAGACGTGTACAGAGATCTAGATACAGCAGGCCTAACCGAATACGGAATTACATCTGCAGAAGTTTGGCTTCTGCGCTGCCGCATACAATCAAGACATGTGAGGTCCAAAATATATTATTCTTATATTCTAGTAGACATGGAAAGAAATGGTCAACATGCTCTGGATAATTATTACTGTAGTTGCCTCAGTGGTAAGCGGACACTGGGCTGCTGCGTCCACGTCATGTGTGTCGTGTGGTATTTAGGGTGGGTCTAGAAACCAAGATCACGATATTGCTTTGCCTGCCGATTTTCTAAATGATGTAATTGTTGACGATGTTTAAAAATAAATATTTTTCATAATTACGTTTTGTCTTACTCATCCTACAATCAAAACCTATATGCAATATAACATATTACAATAAATGACATTCATTTTATTAATGATAAATGCTTAAACGCACGTTGCACAGTAATATTCAACTTTTTTACTACATTCGCCTGTTATATCTTATCCGCAATAACTTTTTTCTCAAATGGCCTGCAATGATAAGCTATTATATTTTTATTCTGTACATATTTATGTAACAAAAAATAAATAATTCTTTAATGGCTGCCAATGGGACAAGCCCCATACGAATTTGCCCATTGTCCTTTGTTCGTAAATGGTAATAATATTCATTTTTCGGTATTTCAATATGACAACTTTGACATTTCATTAAATTTCTTCGAGACTGAATTGTACCTATGGAAAAAAAAACATTGTTAAGAATATAGGATATATTTATTGAAATAAGTGAATTTAATATAAGACAGTATTTACTAGTTTATGATAAGAATATAGTTTAATATCAAGAGTTTCTTATATTAAATTAAACATAATAATGTAGGCACTTGAAATTCATGTGTCATTAATATAAAACTATAAATAACTATGGTACCATGAAATATATCTAGGTGCTATATAACGTGCCTTTATGAAGTTTATCAGTCATATTTTTAAGTTATATGTAATAATTACGTATGTTTATCAATATACAATTCTACAAATACATATTACTTTTAAGGGTTTTATTATCGAAAGAAATTTGCGAGATTCTATAAACAAACCGCTATGATAATTTTCCTGGAATAATTATAATAAATATGTGAACTGATTACTATATGATCTGAACTGTTAATAATTTGTAAGTATGTACAGAAAATAAGTAATTGATAACTAGTAGTAGTTGCTAATAAAGGTGGGTGGGCACTGCCTGTACTCTTTACGAGTAGAGGTTAAGAAATTTGATAGATGAGCCAGGCTTCCGAGTCATCGTTGGTGCGATTCTTCACTGTAATGATAGCCTGACGCCACCTGTTTACAGGTTGAATTCGTTCTATATCCTCACATCGGTACACTTTTAAGTCAATAAAATAATTGCCTGGTTTTCTATCATAAGCCTGCCGTGATTGACCATTCGCTAGGCGTCTGGATATATAAGAAACTATTGGTGCGTTTTTACCGCTCAGTAGCTCTGTATTATCATCATCTTCACTATCTGTCCCGAAAAGCTCCCTAGCCGTACAGGTATTCTTCTTTTCGGGGATCGGCTTGAAGTTGGGCTTCTTCGATGAACCAGCTCTGGGTGTGCTAGCAGAAGCTGATGACTTTCGCTTGATCGCTTTCTTCGAAGTGTCATCAGTGATTTCTCCTTCAGAGGGAAATAAGTCGTCTGCATTTGCTTTTCCAGGATTCCTGAAACAGTCAATAAATTTAATATAAGTACACTGAAGTATTATATTATTGTTAGGGCACTTAATTTTATTTAAATATTTGAATAGTATTTACACTATATTTCTGGTAAGTATTAAAAAGACACATATCCATTAAATCACCGCACTATTATAGCACTCAATCATTCAGCAATTACTATAATAATAAAATTTCTCGCAGTGCTATTCAAGAAAGTGAACAAATAAAATAAAATCACTATATTTTGGGTAAGTATTTAAGAAATATATCTATTAAATCATCTTACTATTATAGAAGTCGATCATTAAATAATTTTTCAATAGAATGCTAAATCAATTTATTGTACATGCTATTCAACAAAGTAATTAAATAAAAAATTACTTACATTTTAGTAAATGGTTGTAGATTGCACTGTACAGGATCACACTTGGAGGAATAACTAGAAGCACCTGAATGTTCGTTAAGACCAGAATGAATACAACCAATGGCTACTGGGGGTTTAAATAGGATAAAAAATGATAACGTAGACAATTTTTTTAAAATATTGTAAATTCATATATTCGTTTATCAAAAAGCCGAAACGTAATAAAGCTGACTCTAAAATTATACATGTGGAAATTTTTAACACCGATACGATGAAGGATTCGACATCGATTTGCAATTGCAGTGCAGAGACTTGTATGCAGTACGTTGTAGAAAGTGATGAACTACACTTTGATAATATATATAAAAATACAAAAGACCTGATAAAGTTAATGACCAAAGCAATGGAGGAGTAATGTTTATTAGAAATACGTCTTATTAAATTGTAATGGTTCATAATTATAATTTTATTCGAATGCTGTGTTATTATGTTTAAAGAGTTTTCTATTAGCAATAAATTGTGTATAAAAACTTTCTTGTACATGTTTTTTTTTTTGTTTTTCACTCATATAGTCCCATAAACATGAAATGTGCACACCTTTTGTTCAGAATTCATCACTATTTGTGTAGATGCGCCTATAGATAGATACCTACGTATAGATCATCAGCGCTCATCTATATATATAAAAATGAATCGCAAAATGTGTTGGTAAGCGCATAACTCAACAACGCCTGGCCCAATTTGGCCAAATCGTTCGTTGAAATGTTCGTTGCAGTTCAAGGATGGTTTTTACGGCGAGAAAAATTAGAATATATTGCCGGAAAAACCGTAAAAACAGCCCTTTTCTTTTTCCCATACAAACGATTTGTAACTAAAACGTTGAGTCAATTTGAGCTCTATTACTATTGTATAAAGTTCATATTAAATTACAAGCACTCACTGTTATCTAAGCAATGTAGGTGTGTTCCTAACGTCAAAGAGTCAATTTGCACTTTATTACCACTATACAAAGTTGAAATTCAATAATATCAATACAGTGTGCATGTGTGCGTTGGAGCACAGAATACATCGTTGGAGGATTTAATGCCGCGTTCCGAAACTCAATTAAAGTAAATCATTAGTATTGATTTTCAATTTGGTCGGCTTTGTAATTATGATTCACATAATTAACAATAAAGCGATTACTTACTTTTAAATGCTTATAATATATATTTTATTTTATTATTTCTTATTCACCACGCCCTATCACCAGGGTGACGGTTCAGTTCAGTTCATGAGAATTTTTTGCCCCGACTATAAAATAAGTAGGAACAAAAAACTGCCACATTACAAATCTTTTTGACAGGACGAAGTCTGTCGGGTCCGCTAGTAATATATAATAACGCAAGCGCACTATACTATTATCGTATTCCGCCTCGAGTATAAAAAAAAATGGTTATATAATAATAATAACAAATATTCATAAATTTCACTTTTATCCAACTAAAAAAATAGAAACATTAGTTTTCGAATACAGTGATTTTATAACTTAATAGAATGAATGCTGTCTGATGATGATGAAACCTGGATCAAAAAAGATCCAGGTTACCCAATTATCATTGTAAAAGATGGAAAAATGAAAACGTCTATTTATCCAGAGCATACGGAAAGCTGTCGTTGCGGTCGCGGTGTAGAAGCTACTGGAATAAAGGCGGGACGTATGAGCGCGATGTGTGTACCGCAATCGACAGCCACCCGCATTGACTTTATTATAAAAATCAAAGGCAGAGGGTACAAATGGAAACATAAATTATTATCTATAACATATAGGTAAATTAAAAATAATTAACGTAAAACTAAGACAAATTACATAATTTATTGAGTGTGTATGCGTCGCCTACAATACTTGCCCCTTAGTGTTATCAACACTATCCTCTCGTGGGTTAAGTAGAGCGACGCGTGTTACCGGACGCCGTAATATACCGGTGCGCGTACGCACATCAACAACACGGATCCGTCCGTCGCCACCTGCATGAGCCGCAGTCGCCACTCCATGTCTCCAGGAATTACGTTCTACAGTTTGAACATTATGTTCACGACAAATCGTATCGGCTAAACGAGCGCCTAACAATGCCCCCTGTAGCTCTAGCCTAGGGATAGAAATAGGGCGTAAAGTGCTCACTTTGCTTTTACTAGCAGCAAAACATACTAATACGCGTCCATCTAGTAACGTAAATCTCCAATAAATGACTGCATACGCTTTCATTGATGCGTCGCAAAGTACATGTAATTGTTTTTCAATAATATCCGAATAACCAATATCATTATCGGTTAGGTGTTGCTCTTGTACTCCAGCATAACACGGAGTCCACTTAGACGCATTTAAATAACAACGCGGAATACGTAATGAACCTAATAGTTGCAGTTCGTTTAGCCAAACGATCCACTTTAAATGCTCATCGCACTGTATATAACTATTCCAATCGACTCCACTGCGATATACAGACTGAAATATTATTTTACCTTTAATAATAAACGGAGAAAGAAAACCATGCAAGTCATACACGGACATAATAGCAGTCAGTAATTGTGACTTAGTTGGGGGTTGCGTACCATTTAGAACGTCATTATGAAGACGAGCAAGACAAATCTTAAATCCGAAAGTATCTTCATTCGGATAATACATTAAACCGAGTGTACGCTCAGTGACATTTGTGGCACCTTGACTAAAATCAATTGCAGTATGCGCGAGTGCCTCAGGCGGAATAGCCGACAGCACTTGTTTACTATTGCTTGACCATCGTGCTATTTCGAAGCCGCCTTGTTTATGAATATAAGTGATATCACGCACTAGTTGAATAGCCTTCCTTTCATTGTCACAAGAATGTATACAATCATCCATATAATGATTGTTAATAATTACGTCTACGGCATCGGGATATAAATCTTGATATTTCAACGCGTTTTTATTTTTTATATATTGTGCGATAAATGGTGAACAAGTCGCGCCAAAAATTAAACTTTGCATTACACATATTTTTATATTGCTATTGGAACTATCTTGCCACAAAAATCGCAAAACGTGTTGATCATTATCACGTATTTTTATTTTCAAAAACATATCCTTTATATCGCCAACTATAACATACCTATGTTGACGAAAGCGTAACATAATACCTAAAAGAGAGTTGTACAGATCGGGACCGGTTAACAAATAATCATTCAAACAAACACCGTTAACTTTCCCTGCACCATCAAAAACTAATCTTAATTTGTCGGGTTTATTTGAATTCTGTACTCCAAAATGTGACAAATACCAAATATGGTTGGCTTTAAGTTCGTTTTCTTTAAGTTCTCGAGCGTAGCCTAGATCGAATAATTTCTGTATCTCTTGACGATACCTATTTGCATAAGAATCATCAGCTTTGAACTTCTTTAATAAACCTTTCAAACGTGATAAGGCATAGTTGTAACTGTCGGGCATACAAAAAACATCCTTATTGAATGGCAGACCGACCTCCCATTGATCACCAATATTGCGTGAACTTTCGTCTAAAATACGAATAGCTCTCAAGTGTGCCGTATTCTCACGTCGGACGGTCGATATTCCTATGCAGTCCAAGTCATACGATCGTCTAATTAAATCAGTCAACTCATTCATACTATCAGTACCTACAATGTTATCACTTACCTGTAGGAACTCTGAGTGAGCAAGATGGAACGCGTGTCCGTTGATGGAAGTGTGACTGCGACCGATGCAGCCGTGAAGTGTCCATCCTAATCGGCATTTAGTCGCGTAAGGTTCTCGCTCATTACCGTGCAATATGTCTAAGGGAGCCATTAAGAAATAATTATCTTGGCCGATCAGTAGGCGAGGCATAACACACTCTTTACATACAAATCGTTTAATATGCGAAAAATTATCACAATTAATATTATTTACTAAAGACAAGTTCTGATTTGGCAACTTAAGTTTATCAACTTGACGTAAAGTAATTTCATATACATTATTATTATCATGAAAACTAGATATTTTTGTACATACTTTAGGAGCATCAGATTGAAAAATTTCTAAGCCGAAGGCATCAACAAATTTTATAGGACTAGGTTGAAAAGATTTTAAGCCTAATTCACGTACTAGAGTCTTATCTATCATTGATATCGCAGCACCATCGTCTAATAAAGCATATGTACTCACAATACCGAGGGGTCCACTGAGATTCACTTTTACCACTTTGAGCATAACGTGCGGCGCGGGCGCGGAGACCTCGCTCGCTTGCGCGAGCTGCGTTGACTCAGGGCCCGATACGTGCGTAACGGCGGCGGCGGCGGCTTGCGCAGCCAGCGGCCCAGCATCGGCCCGCAGCGGTGGCGGAGCAGCTGTGCGCGGCAGGGCCTGCGCGCTGCCGGTGGTGGCGTTTATATTCGAAGGCTGCGTTTCCGATGGGGTGTGGCTCGAAGAAGATTTATTGTAGTGCAACAAATGATGATGTGCGAGCCCGCAGTTATCGATATTACATAGCGGTGCTGGACATTCGTTCTTGTCGTGTCTATTTGATAGGCAACAGTAACATAAATTATTCATTTTAACAAATCTCCAACGTTCCTTTCTCATAGCTCGCTTAAATACACGGCAACTCGTTAGTGTGTGTGAACACTTCTTACAAAAATTGCATACAGTTGCATTAATGTCATTTGTGGAGGCTGTCGCGAGTATAGATCGATTATTACTATTATGCCGGTTATCAGCTGTTGGCTTGCGTATGTAGGTAACAGGATCAAATTTTTTATATTCTCGTGGTTGTATCATACCTACTACGGATATAATTTCTGCCTCGCGCTTGAGGAATGATGCAATTAATTCCAATTTCGATTGTTTTTCATATAATTTCTGGTACGCATATTCAGTCCATTTGCCAATAAGTGTACTCGGAAGCTTTGATGTGACAGTAGATAACAATTCTGGACTACATAGATAATCATTCTGATTAATAGCACGTAACGTAGCCACACAGTTGCTTATTTTTATGGAAAAATTGAATATATCTTGCTGATAATTATTAGGTAACGGTGTCAACTTTTTCATCTGGTATAACAAATGATGAATTATGATATCTGGCCGTCCAAATCGTAATTCTAGTGCCTCGAGAATATGTGATGGCGAAGTATTACCTATTAGAAGGTCAGTGACTGCTTCTCTGGCTTCTCCTTTTAGAGCACGACGTAGTCGCCATATATTCTCCGACTCGGTAAATTTACACATTCGAGTTGTTTCATTATAGGCACTTTTAAAGTGCAGCCATTCTATACAGTCTCCACTGAAAATAGGCAGCTCACGAGGGGTAGACAGTCGCGTGAGTAGACTATCTTCATGCTGTTTAGAAGACGAAACCATGATGTCCTTGAGGGTGTGCGCTAGCTGAAGGATGCTGTCGACAGGCTGGGTGGAGGCCATAGCGTGACTCGGTTCTATAACTTTAGTAGCCTGCGCTGCCTCTGTAGCCGTCGCTGCTGCATTGTCTTCCAGCTTAGGCGGCTTTATGCTGCTGCGATCCAGCCAATCCTCAACTCGTGAACATATATTGGCGTCCGTATTTTTACTAAATTGTGATCCACTTCTGGATCGATTGTCGTCTTCGTTTATTAGAGCTAAATTGACTTCTAGCTGCTTATTAATTAATTCAATTTCAATTTTCGCTTTGGCTTGAGCAGCTTCTAGTTCAAGCTGTTTGCGGCGGGCTTGAGATGACGTCGACTTTTTTGACGAATGCATCGACTCATTCTTCACCGATTGTCGCGTAAAAGTCGCTTTCCAATGTCCTGGATGTATTTTCAAGGATGAATTGTCGTTTGGCACCGGCACCGCCATTTTGTTGCTCTTAGCGAGCACGTGCTCGGAAGCACATTCTAATCGTTCCGTTAATTTTAATCGGTCTTTTTGCGTAATATTGTCGCGCGGTGGTGTACGATGCATGATTAATTATTATAAACGTTACTGGTTACTAGATTTGGCTCGATGGATCAATTTTGTAAAAGATGGAAAAATGAAAACGACTATTTGATCCAGAGCATACGGAAAGCTGTCGTTGCGGTCGCGGTGTAGAAGCTACTGGAATAAAGGCGGGACGTATGAGCGCGATGTGTGTACCGCAATCGACAGCCACCCGCATTGACTTTATTATAAAAATCAAAGGCAGAGGGTACAAATGGATACATAAATTATTATCTATAACATATAGGTAAATTAAAAATAATTAACGTAAAACTAAGACAAATTACATAATTTATTGAGTGTGTATGCGTCGCCTACAATCATCTACTGAGATAACGACTATATTTAAGAGAGTCTCCAATGTCATTAATGTAGAAAGAAAGAAAGTAGTTTGTTTGATGAACCCCATTCCTTGACTTCGGCGAGTGCTTTGTTGGCTTGCGTTTCTACATCCTGGGAGCTTTTAGTGGACACAATTAATATAACATCATCTGCGAAGGCTTGGCAGTATGTTCCTTCATCTGTGAGTTTGTTTAATAGCGGGTCAAAAATGATGTTCCAGAAAAGGGGTCCTCCAATGGATCCCTGTACGCATCCTTTATTTGTGTTTTTGGTTATTTCTTGACCCGCGTATCTCACAGTCACCGTCCTATCTTTCAGGTAACGACTGACAAGCCTTCTCAGGTTTATTGGGCAATGGATCTGCGACCACCAAGCGTTATCGAAGGCTCCCTCTATGTCCAGCGAAATTAGGGCTACAATCTCCTTCTCTTCAAGATTTCCCTAATCCGCTGAACCATGTCGTAGAGGGAGTCCTCTGTGCTACGATGGGGCACAAATCCATATTGCCGTAGGTTTAACTTGGGTAGTATATGTTACCTGGGTGAATCAACTTTTAAGGCACTCCTTTGACAGCATTGTGAAACAAAAAATCAAAATATAATTTAATCGAATTTACAAGAATAAATGTTTTTATATATTATAGCATTTACCCTATTTTTAGATTTCTAAGGTAGCCGCGAACTTAAACCTTTACTTTTTGAGATTTTTGAGTACAAAGGAAGGTCTGTCGTTAATCTTTCACCTGCGTTATCTATTTTGGCAAATTTATTTGTGAAATAAAACGAACTATTTAAAAAAATCAGATATATAATTCTTTAACACAACAAAAACAGAACCTTTTAAAATAATTTAATATAGTCTATTGTTATTACCTCTTGAGATGCATAATATTTTAAATGGACTGCCTTACTTTGGCAATAATTAAAGTCTAACTTTAAGATAGCTCCATATTACAAATAATCAATCATTTGAAACTTATATCTAAATCACTCGGTACTTTTATATTCTTATTATTACATAATTTTGATTATTTACCACTAATATTGCAGAAGCTATTTCCTAAAATACAATTACAAATTAGGGGACACCCGGTAACACCAGAGATAAATTAGTAACGCTAGAGAACAAGGTAGCACCTGCGCATAAAGACTTCTAATCACATAACGTAATCTAACATTAACAAGGCAACAAATAAAAAACTTATAAACATAAATGAGATCAAAAATTAAAATAAAACAATAAAGAAATAGCGAACAATTAATTACAAGTCTTATATCTTCTCAAAAACTTCTAACGACTCTTTAAAAACATAATAAGAGCGACAACCTTTCTTAACAAGTGCAGGTACAGGTAATTTTTTGACAATATTTTCATGATTAACGTATGAAATATCCTTTTTATCCAAACGAAAACGTTTGGCGTTTTCATCTACCACTCGTAAAAACATTACTTGTATTTCTCCGTCGTCCTCAATTTCTGTTAATGTTTTGCAAGCATAGGTGTAGGATTTATTTTTAGATGCATCTACATACAATTTAACTAATAGAAAGTCACCGCGTCCTATCTTTGCATTAATGTCATAGCTGGCACTAGGTTCTTTATCAGATGAATAGCTTTTATCTGATTCAGAATTATAAATTTTACTGTATATATTTTGGCGTCTATTGGTCAATTCCTGTAACTGTTTGGTAATTTTTAAAGATGCTAATGGTGTGTCGTCATCAGATATAATTTCCAAATCTAAAGTCAAAGTATCAGAAGCCATGACATCAATCATGTGTGCTTCTAAATCTTCTGGCAGAGCATCTTCATTAGTCAGGTCTGGGAGAAGTTCATTCTTATTTGCATCAAAAAGAACTGCAAGGTCATAAAGTTTTGGGTTAAGGCACGAACAGAATCCTCTTGGTCTTAGGCTCTCACTCTCACAAAAACGGTTAGGTCCCTGTATTCTAGCTTCCCATAACAGTTTGAGAAAACCTGATGTACTTTTAGCGTTCCTACAAGTCGTGGAATACTTTTAGGTAGGGCTTTATGTTGGTTCTCGATATCATTGGAGTCAATTACATATAATATTATTTTACTAACATTTTTCATCTCCTCATAGAATTGCCAAACATTAGCAATGTCTTTACCATTAGCTACGATTTTGTCCGCCGTTCTTTTGAGAAATCCTCCTATTCCATCAGCTGGCCCTTTTCCGTGGCCAGCTTCAAAAAATGACCATGTCATATTAACAAACCCGTAATCAAAAAACCTTGTACACATTAAATAAAAATTTTGCTTTTGCCGGTATTGGGTGCTTGGGCCATCCGAGTAGAAATGGACTGTGTTGATATCTGCAAAATTAGACCTTATACTTTTCAAAATTGGATCTAAGTGGCACCAAATCGCTGCAGGCTGATGGTTGTTGGATTCGGAAATAGTACAAAATGAATTAACTTCATAACCTTTTGCAGAGTTTTTGTTAAATGTATACACTACAACAGTATGAAGAGAAATTTGTTTACGCGACCCTCCAAAATGGTGGGATTGTACTTCTTGGCTATGTTTGCAGTTGTAATTTTCACTGAAATCGGCGACCAAAATGCATTCATATGGACGTATATTATCAAGACAGTGGCGGAAACTTTGAAATTGTGTCTTAATATTAAATACATGTATTTTAAACGCCTTAAGATCATTCTCGAATATTTTGACAAATGCTTCAGCCTCCTCATTTTTATATTCTTTAACATTTTTTATAGTTTTTAATAATTTTTCGTCTTTCTTGTAACTATCTTCTTTTCTTATCCATTCTGGCCATGTGATAGTACCGCTTATATTCTTTCGGAAATATTCATATTGTTTATTAGCACATAGATCACATATACCATACATACAATTTTTTGACTTCACATTACAAACAGTCGACTCAATAAGAATATTTAAGTTGTCAGTACCTGTTATACCTTTTTTTTTCAAAACATTAGCTTTGTATGCAAAGTTTGTGTGTATCTTGCATAGACACGTATTTCGACCATCAACAGAAGCACTAACCACATAAAATGGCTTATTTCTTGTAAAATAAAAATATGAACAACGAAGGTCAGGGTTCTCTTTAATAAATGCTTTATATAAATTTTTCATAGAATCCAACATAAATCTTTTTTGAACCTTCACCTGTGCTTTTGTGACAGTTTCTTTTTTGCCGGCTGTAGCTCGTGAAACATCATCTCTCAAATAAAAATCTTTAATTCGTCTCTTTAACACAATTTCATTCTCAATGCAGAATTTCCTTTTTACTATTTTGTCAATTCCTAAATTATTCATAAGCATCTTTTTCTTCATTCGTGAGTCTATGACTTCCACAGTTGAAAAAATTTTCTTAATCACCTCTCGTTCTTTCCTCGATTTTGTTTGTTTAAATGTCTTCTTAATAGCTCCACTCAGGACCTTGTACCGTAAGTCTTCATTTTTCTCAGTGTCAAGAGCCTTCTTTTTCTTTTCTCTTTCAAACCTTTTTTTGTACTTGTCATATTTTTGTTTCAACTTTTTAATATTTTGCTTAAGTATTTGGTTTTCTCTATGTACGCGTGCCCTGTCCCTTTTAACTTTATTTTTGCGTCTATTTTTTGGGGTCCCAGATGGTGAAGAGTCACACGAACGTATTCTTGGCGTTAGCGGTGGAGTGGCTTGAGGCGAAGCGACCGGTGTAGTTGTAGGAGTGATATTTGTCACAGGTGCATTTCGTGGGCTTTCCTTGCCAGATCGTGGTGTTAACCGTGGAGAACAGCGTACTGTATTTCGAAGACCTGGTAAAGGTCTAAAACAGGGTGGCGGCGTAATTCGTGAGGATCGATCTCGGGACGATGGCGATGGTGGCGGAGTTCCACTCTTGTACATTTTAAATCGAATGTAGGCGAATCTGGAGGTGTCTGTTGTAATAAACCTTCTGCAGCTTTCTTTCGTGCCTTCAACTGCCTTTTCCTTAGTTTCCATATCACGTTTGCATTATACCGTTCTTTTGGTGTTAAATCTTTGACCAATCTTTTAGTTTTATGATATCTTTCCCTTTGCTTTTGCTTAGCTTTTTCGTATTTTTCTCTATCAGTTTTAAGCCTTTCCCTATAACGCTTTTGTTTCTCTGCCGCACTAAGCGGCATTTTACTTTTGTGTAGTCGAAAGTCCAAACCTAAGACAAAGTAAACAATATTATTAAATACTTTGGCAGTCCGAAATATCCAACTATGAGTGTAAATATATCCCACTTATAGTCTTTTATGATTATAAGGCGTATGCATTTTATTAATAATGGTTATTAAAAAAAGGTTTGGATTTATATATTTTGATTTCCCGACGTTTCCGACTTTACGGGAGCCATGGTCACGAAATGACCACTTAAGCAATACTGGAACTAATTGTACACGCGTTGTTGCAAGTTAAAGTGCTTTATTTAATATAAATGCATTAACTATTTATGTCAGACTACTCACATTGTCTCTGGCGTTACTGGTATCGCAAGAGACAGTTCTGTTGCGTTACCAGTAACGCAGTAGAAAATTCATGGTAAAAATACAAATAAGTAATTCTACGTTGCAAATTGAACCATTATTTTAACTTTGCCTTCAAATCAGACGTTATTGTTAAAATTTTATTATAATAATAGTAAAATATTCCACAAACTTACCACGATGTCCGGGGTAACGCTGCGGAGCAACAATAAACCCACACGCACTACTTGGGAACGCCACGAACACTGGCGGGAGGAGAGACGTCGAAAGAAAATAACGGTCAACATCGACGTGAAGTTAGACAAAAGGCAGCGCTAGCGACGCCAAATAGGTACTCTCCGCGCGATTATTTCAAAACTAAAGAAGTCACTCGGGAGAACTAAGTTTTGAGACATTATTGGCGACAGATCCTAATGAATAATTATTAAATATTGTTTAAATACAATTAATAAAATGTTGTACTGAAGATAAATGTTTATTTAATGTAGATTTTAAATATGTCGAAATAATTGGGTAGCTTGATATATATTTTTTAAGATTTGACTTGATTTGCTTGATCGACTATGCCTGGTGACACAGAGTTTTTGTATGGAGAGTTAAAATGTTCTCCTGCGATACTGTAGCTTGAAACGTTTAAAATTGTTAAAATTAAAAAGTCTTTGCTCTCATGTTACTAAATGCATCTAATTTTAGGTTAATATAGAAAAAAAGAAGTTTATAAGTGAGTTTTATTCAATATGATTTTTCTAGAGCGCGGACAAGAAAGGAGTGTCTTAAAAGTTGATTCACCCACCTAAGTCTCCTTACTGTCATCTTTTCAAAAAATTTTACCATTACTGATAGTAGGCCAATGGGCCTATACGACTTTGGTACTGTGTAACTTTCTTTCCCCGGTTTTCTGAGCGTGATCACTGTGGCTTTTTTCCATTGTGTAGGAAATTATGTGGCTGTTAGACATTTGTTGAAAATGGCGAGGGCTACGTAGGTATTTGCTTTAATGGTAGCAGCGCAGATATCCGCTGTTAGACCATCCCCACCTGGTGCCTTCTTCGGATTGAACGACTCGGATGAGTAGAGTAGTTCGGCTTCCACGAAGGGTGGGTCGTAAAAATCAGTTTTACTCCACTCCATCGCTTTCACCGCCCTACTTCTTTCATCTTTGAGGGAGTCGTTCTCTCCGTCTTCGACATCCAGTGGGTAAAAGCAGTCTGTTATTATATGCGCTGATTCCTCCGGGCTTGTTGTTCTCCCGTTTTGTATCATAAGTAAATCCTCGCCATTTCTTTTTGATCTTTTAATTACCCGATAGATTCCATCCCACATACTCTCGCGATCCTGTTTGCCACAGTAATCCTTCCAGCTTGTTATTCTACTTTCGTTCATAATATCATCATATTCTTTATTTTTTGTCAAATACTGCTCAATGACATAGTTCTTTATTTCTTTGGTCGCGTTTTTCATTTTTTTTCTGGCTCTATTTTTCTCCTTCTTTATTTTTTCTAACTTATATATATTATATTTTCTAACTTATTATCGTCGAAATTTTATACCATCCTTTAGTGAAACGCGCGGGGGGGGGGGGCGTAGTACCGCGAAGGGTTTGACGCATAAACTGTGCAAAATGTTATCGTGTAAAAAGGACATTGCTCAACGTCCATACATTGGTGGCCCCAGAGCCAAAAAAATATAGGAAAATACTTATTTTATTGTGTGTCACTAACTAATTCTCATTATGTATTTATTATACCGCCACCGAGTTTTAGAACTTATTATCACGCAAAATATAATTCATTTTGAGGTTATAATTTGTTTGGAAAACCACCAAGAGATGGCACTCTAAGTACATGATATGATATTGATGTCTATATTGTCGAAGCAAAAAAACTCAACTTTAAGAAAGTCGGTTTTTCGTTGTAATTTGTAAAAGCTTCTAAGTCAATCAATAGACAAATAAAAAATTCTAATAGTTAAATAATATACCTATTGATAAGCTTAAAATTAAAAAACCTATAGCTTTTTGATGGTTTACATCAAAAGAATATATAAAAATAGAAACAAAGTAGTATACATAAAAAATGGTTTACATAAAAATATAAACAAAGTAGTTTTTAGAATATGTCGTATGAATATCAATCTTTCTGAATAAACAAGAGTGAATTATCAACAGTTAATGAATTGAGTTTGTATAATACTCAGTTTTTATGTCCTTATGTTATAGTTGGAAAATCACCAAGAGATGGCGCTTTTAGTTTTAAGTTTATTTTCGGTCAATTTAATTTAATGTTTTTGTGTTCGATGATTAAAGGTTATCAAATAAAAATAAATGATCTTGATATGACGTGTAAATTACATCCATCTGACTCAATAGAATTTAAGTATATTGAATGTGAATATTTGCGAATAAAAATGTTACTGTTAAAGTACTTTTAGATATTAATTTTGGATCGCAGCTTGTCCGTGTCAAATAAATATTTGATTCCAATTTAATAAATAAATTAGTAATTATTATTATTGAAGTATTCATATTTAATGGTATTGGGGCCATTTTCGGCGATGTCCTTTGCTGCTTTCACTGAAAGTCAAATTCGTACTGACGGATTTACACAAAGGCAAACAAGCAGCCAATAATATCCTGAAATATTGTGTGTCAAGAGCTGAGTGATCAAATACTCAAACCAAATTCTTAAATTAGATGAGATAAAAATGAAATAAGTTCAAATAAATTTCTTTATTTATTCTTAGAAAGCTGTACTGTGCATAGAACAATATACTTTACGAGGAGAAGAAATATTTACGGGTTCGGTGCTTGGGTCAATTAATAAGGCTGCTTAGCTTGAGTATATATTTATTAGTTAAATAAGGGTAATAAGAAAAACTGTAACAAACAAAAATAAATTTATAAAAACAGTTCGTAAGTTACTTAACTAATACATACTTATCAAATAAACGAATACATACCCCTTGTCGGGCTTCTAGTTAACTTTTGGATCTTCCAAAATACAGATTACAATTTAGTAGTTACATATGTTATATAATTTGTATCACCATATCACATTATTTATCACAATAAATGAATTATTTTAAAATTACATAGTAAAATTTATACCATTAATATTGTATTGTATTATAATTTCATCTTGTGCATAGGAGAATTTCTTACGAACTGACATCCATAAAGAGTATAATTGATTAGTCAAAATTTTAAATTACGAAAGACGAGTAATAAAATGAAATGATGTTGAATTTCAAAAGTAAAAAGTTTGCATACTGAAACCTAGGAAAACAAACGGTGACATGGCACACCGTTACAATACCGGGGGGGGCGGGGTAAAAAAAAAAATCTGAAAGATTTTTTTTTTAGATATTCTTGGATTACTCAAGCTTAAAATATTTTATATAAAATGTGATTAATTAATGCTATCATTATTTAATTTAGAAATGGGGATGGTATATATAGTGGATAAATTACATTAGGCGATTTCCCTTTCATAAAATGTTCTTACTTCATCATTCAAATATCATTCAAACAATCTTTATCTTATTGAGATAAAAATTCCTAGCAATTAGAGGTAACTTGTATTTAAGAAAGATTATCTCTAATAAATCGACCTAAAAAGTAGTGTAGGCTTCTTTAAAATAATGTCAGTCACCACCCGCTGACTTTAGGTGAATTGTGTAGTGTTGTTGAGTGTAGATGTATGTATTTCTTGGCATTGAACTCAACTATTATAAGAAATGAGTCGCCAAATTTCTTTGTACGCGAAGGAATCGTTGCCACAGTTAGTTGGTGGCAACGCAAACCAGCACGTGTGGTCCTGAGGAGGAAGGGAGATGGGGGGATAAGGGAAAAGAGTTCTTCAGAGCATTCACCACGGTAGAGACGGTAGAAGACGCTGAGCGAAGCAACGTCTCGGCGCAATTGCAGGCTTTCTAGGTTCTTGGTGACTTCACCATTGCCAATAATGCGTACTGCGCGGCGTTGCAATCTATCCAAAGCATCGAGTAAGTACCTAGCGGAGCCATCCCAAAGGTGCGAGCAATACTCCACGCATGACCGGACCTGCGTTTTGTATAGCAGGCACAGTTGTTCGGGCGTGAAAAAACGCCGCACCTTGTTCAGGACACCGAGTTTACGTGATGCAGTTTTAATAACAGACTCGATGTGGTTTTTGGGATTCAGATCACAGCGCAATTCCATCCCGAGCATGTTGATGCTGCTCTGTAGAGGCAAGGTTGTGCCCTGAAGAGAGGGAAGGGAAGGGAATGGGGGGGTCTTGGCGGTAAATACGCAGACCTGAGTTTTCTTGGCATTGAACTCAACCAGGTTTTCAGCACCCCATTGTTACGGGTTCGGTGCTTGGGTCAATTAATAAGGCTGCTTAGCTTGAGTATATATTTATTAGTTAAATAAGGGTAATAAGAAAAAACTGTAACAAACAAAAATAAAATTATAAAAACAGTTCGTAAGTTACTTAACTAATACATTCT